ATGTTTTATTGTGTTTTTTTAAATATAATGTAAAAATAAATAAATAAATAAATAAAAATAAAAAAACAATGTGCAGTGATAACCATTTCCAAAGATTAGTAAACATATAAGTGGATGGATGTGGCGTATAGGTGACATCATTTTTCTAGTGAATATACCCTTTGGCCTAATAAACATTCAAACAAATGTGGAGTAATATATTTTGCTACGGAAACATATTTCGTAACTACTTAACTACGGAATTTTTCGTAGCCAAATACTTATGAATTTTGATTTCGTAGCTATTTTGCAAATTCACCTTTTTGTAACAAATTTCATAATAGATTAACTACAAAATTTTATTTTGTAGCAAATTTTCCTAGCAAAATAGCTACGGATCTTAATTCCATAGCTAACTAGCTACGAATTTTTATTTTGTAGCCAACTAGCTACATACATGGATTTTGTAACAAGTTTCATAGAGAACTAGCTACAACCAAAAAACTTGTAGCATTATTTGTAGTAAACTAGCTACGGATTTTAATTACGTAGCAACTATTCAAGATTTAGCTACGGAATGCAATTCCGTAGCCATTTCGGTAGCAAATTAGTTACAATCAACCATTTTGTAACATATTCCGTAGTAAAATAACTATGAATTTAGATTTCGTAACAACTTTACGTAGTTATTTAAGATTTAGCTACATAATGCAATTCCGTAACCATTTATGTAGCATAATAGCTACGACAAGTCGTTTCGTAGCATATTCCGTAGTAAAATAGCAACGAATTTTGATTCCATAGTAACTTTCCGTAACTATTTAGGATTTTTCTTGTAGTGATTTTTAATGGGATTCCAAAGGAAAATTCTCCATGAGTGGCCACAAATTGGAGTCAAACTCCTCACCTTGCCTCTCAATGGTTATAAACTCAACACCTCTTTCCCGGCTTCATTGGTCACAATTATATAAACAAGAATTTAACTCTTAATCATAGTGGACCAATAACCCTTTTAGCTTCAAATTTGTCTCCGGACTATTTCTTAATTAATATATAATATATTAAAGAAATGAATCTAGGAATAGTAAATTTGGAAGTTTTTTTTTGGCAACTTTGCTCCTTATTATTTAGTCATTTTGATACTTTTGGTCTTTGTAATTAATATTTTAACATTTTTTAGGAACCTTTTAATATTCAAGTTTGGCCACAAAATTTTAACGGTTTGACATTTTTGATCATTTTCTAAAAAGTTGTTAATTCCTACCCTTTTAATTTTTTAGTCATTTTGACACTTCTGATCATGCAGTCAAAACTTTTATATTTTTTAATAAAAACATGAAAAAAACGATCTGAAGCAAAACCCAAACTTTTCATCCTTCCATTTTCTACGTATGTTACGCGGGATAACGTTTCTTGTTAGTAACAATTTTCTTGATATAAATTTTGTTCAACATTGTTGGCTGGTTGGTGGTCCTAGCTAGCTACGCTAAGATAACCAGTTGTCATACGCTGTTTGGATTGCAAGTTTTCAAAGCCATGAACCTTTAATCATATCATAAGCGAAAGAAACTTTACTTTGATTAATTTTTTTTATACATGAGATATATATTAGATTAGTTTGTAATCATAACGCCTCTCTCTCTCTCTCTTTTTCTCTCTCTCTCTCTCTCTCTCTCTCTCTCTCTCTCTCTCTCTCTCTCTCTCTCTCTCTCTCTCTCGATGTATATGTATGTAGTTAAGTATATTTCGTGATATCTGACACAGATGATAGCTGGGGTATCAAACCAGGAGGATGTGTGGTGAGCAAGATGGAGAAGCAGGGCACGTGTATTACTAACTCACCATCGCATCATCACGAAAATGTCGAACGCAGAGTTCAAGGTTCTGGAAATGAGTTGGTGCTTCATGTGCCCATCTTCCCCATCTTGACCACCACACCTTAATTTACTTCAGATGCTACAGTTTCATCAATGCTGTCAATAAATCACAACTACCCTAGCGATATCATGCTTTAATTCTCCAGGTGACAAGTTTATACTCCGAAAAAAGAAAAACGAAAAACTTGATAAAAAACTGTTCCTTGTTATTGATCCTATATCTTTGTAGAAACTTTTATGTGGGATTCTCCTTTTAATCGTCAAACTTTGAAAAAGAAACGTAGAACATATTAGTTGATCGCCGGGATTTGTGTTTTAAACAAATCCGCAGTCAAAAAAGGTATTTTGAAAAAAAAAACGTAGAACATATTAGTTCATGTAACCCTAGCTAGTTTGTTGCTAGTGTCTTGGATTTTCGTTATCAGCGATCTATATAACCTAACGTGATAATTTGTTTGGCTTGAAAACCGATGGCAATTCAATAAATTTCTATCTGTTTTGATTAAGTGTTGTGTTCAGATGTCAATTCAATAAATTTCTATCTGTTTTGATTAAGTGTTGTGTTCAGATGTATCAATATACAATTGTTACAAATAATATGCACTCATAGATTATTAGGTACGTATATCTTGTAGGTTATAATTTATTTTAAAACAGTCTTTAAATAGGTTTATGTGCGCCTACAGGATGAAGCATGGCAAGAAAAGGGCCAACATTTGCAACGAAATCATCCATACATTCTGTTGGTTACATAAAAAAATGTCAATTCAATTTTTTAAAGAGTGAATATGTTGTTTTTATCCATTTTATTACTTTTAGCAGTCTTTAAGGGTTGAGTGAGTAGAGCTCGAAAATGCACATGTGGAGCATATGTGGTACTGCAAACACCGCCCCTTGGGTGTGGCATGACATGCAAAATAGCTAAGCAACTCGGCACCCGTCCGCTTACCGAGTCTCCCACTTCTATTTTCACAACACTCTCGTCTCATTTTCTGACTCCCTCTTCATCCCTTCTCCAATCAACTTTCATGAAAAACTGACAAGCCGAAATGGAGATCGGTAAGGACAACACCACTACCCCTTATTTATATTTTCCATCTCTCTCAAATCTTTTATTTATGCAATGGGTAAAGTCAATGTATGTTCACTAGAAAAATAATGTCATCTATGCGCCACATCATCTCTACTATATGTTAACTAGCCCTTTGAAATGATTATCACTTCATATTATTTATCTTTTTTTTTTTAAAATGACATTATATTAAATAAAAAAAATTATTAAACATAGATAAATATTTTGCAAATAAAAAAAACATTAACTTAAATAAAAATAATATTTTTAAAATTCAACATACATTGTACTAATAAAAAAGTAACATTAATAAAACATTGAAATTAATAAAAAAATATATTACTCGTCTTCATCGTTGTCCTCAACGTCAGCGTCGTTCTCATTGTCCGCGTCCTCATCCTCCTCGTTGTCATTATTATTGTGTTCTTCAAATTGTCATTATTATATGTGCTCAGTCAAAATGACTTAGATTGTGATGCGTTTTACTGTTTTATATTTCCAAAAGCCTTATAAAGTATGATAAGCTACCAACTTGTATTAATGTAGGTGGATTGAATATATCTTTTGGAGTATATATATATAAATAGACCTATCATCTTCTTCTATTATCAAGTTATGGGAAATAACACTCACTTTCATCACCTTCATAAATTTTGCCATATCATATTCTCGTGTTGGATGTTTGATTATGTGACAATTCTATTTGAGGATTCCAAATAACCACTCCACTTCCTTTATTGCAGATTCATGCGCTTACTTGAACAATTTTCTTTTTTCATCGGTCGGATATAAGTATGACTTGGCAAATATAATATACTTTGGATATATAAGATCACCATAGTAAATAACAGAGATACTCCAAGCACATTCAGGTTGTTGTTTGACCCCACCATACCAAAAAAAACATGTCAAAACCGTAGGTCATGTTAAAACAACTGCTTCTAGTATAACAGTTGACACGTCATGATCACCTTGCGTGAATTGCCCTAGCCATAAGGTTGGGCTATTTCCCACACCTAATGTGTACAATCAAGGCTACGAAGAACTTCTAGAAATCAGTTTTTAGCTTGATGTGCGGCAAACAACTGTTCGACATCACTTCTAGTTGGATTTCGCAAGTATATGTCATCGTAAAGATCTTTAACATACTCACAAAAAAATATGTGCATTCTCGATCGGTCCTCACAGACATCTTCAAATATTCATATGAAGCGTGTGAGGCTATGTTCTATGCCAAATATTTAAGAGTTGTTGTGCATTTTTGAAATGCAGTAAAACCATGTTTACCTCTAGCATCTCATCTGAATTGAAAAACTCATAAATGTTTCCCAAATCTCTCACAATACGTACGAATAATTTTCTACTAATACGGAAACCATCTTCGAATTTTGATAGGTTGTATAATCTATCACTGGGAAAGTAATCACGTAGCAAAAGTTCGTTTTACGTACAATGTCGTGTGTCGTGGAAAACAACGTATGCATAATCAACTCATCATTAAAAGAATTATCTTCATCGGATGAAGAAGAAGAACTGGCACCGGAAAAGTTATGCATATTGTTAAGTGTATTTGTTGTGAGATATTTGATGTGTATTATGCGTTTGTATATATAGGTAAAGTTTTAATTTAAAAAACCATTTATATTCACTACAAGAATAAGTATCTATAGTGACAAAACTTAAAGGGACGACAAAGGTCGTCGCTATAGGAGGAGCTATGGGGACGACTTGTCGTTCCAACAGGGTTGACCAATTTATTTTTGACCTTGAGATTTGTAGACGACATGGCAGGTCTCAACTGGTTAGGCGGGAGATTTCCCGGGTTCCTAAAAATTTACAGGGACGATAGGTTGTCTCAACTAAAACAAAATAATTTAATACTTTTTTAAAGCTACAACTCTCTATAGATCAGAAAGCTAGGTCTCATCCATTTTTCATAATTTCATACCATTCACCCCTTTCTATTTATTGAATGACCCTTACTTGAGGCCGACCACCACCACAACAATGTTTGCCGGTTCCTATGACGCCGCCGACCTCGTCTACGACCACCGCCTGCGACTTGCGACGAGATGTCTTCGGGAGGAGAATTTGAGTTCCATGTGTTGATTTTGACTTCCTCATTTGGGCTTGGTGTTGATTCTGGCGACCTGCAAAGATTTTGGCACCTGGTTCCCTCAACTTCTTCAATTCCCCTAAGAAGCTTAAAGCTAAAATTAGTAAGATCATCTTAGAATCATGTTATTCAATTCATATTAAATTTTCAATGTTTGCTAATATTATTATAAATGATTGTTGTTTTTAAGGAGTTGAGGAGATCTTTGCCATTAGTGCTCCTAGTGAAGGTGATGGGGAAGGGGATAATGCCATTCGCAGTAGGTGAATGTCTAGTAGTTCAAGCAGTTCTAGTAATCATTTTGATTATTATCAAGTGGTAAGTATTTATATGGATGATTCTTAAGTCATAATCAACTTGGTTGCTAATATTTCAGCAGTTTTCTAATATATATATATATATATATATATATATATATATATATATATATATATATATATTGATGTTGTTGATATGCAGACAACAGATTCAGATAGTGATAATTCATCTGAATATGGATCTGAATGCATGTAGGTCATTCACCTACAAGTTGCTCCCATTTACACTTCATTGAAACCATGGGTACATAGTATTAGTAAAAACTATATTGCTCAAACCTACCTCTCCACACTGTTTTTTATGTAAAAAAAATGTTTTTTCACAATTTCGTCCTTAGTACCCCGCTCATTATTTTTTTAGTAAAAAAAAATTCGATTTTCACAGTTTAGGACAAAACTGCCCCTGCATTCGGTTTTTATAGTAAAAAAAAATTTTGGATTATCAAAGTTTTGGACCAAATTGCCCCTCCCTACTGTTTTTATAATAAAAATAATCGATTTTTATGGTTTTGGTCTAAACTACACAACACACTGTTTTTAGTAAAAAAAGAAATTGTTTTTTCACAGTTTTGGTCCAAAGTATCCCTGCTCACTATTTTTTTAGTACAAAGAATTCTATTTTCACAGGTTAGGACTTGTCATTTGGGTTTGAACTAAGAGCATGTGGATTAATGTGATGCTTCATCTCAATGCATTTCAATGGTAATGTAGACATCTAAACAACCCCCAATTAATGTTATTTTAGTAGAATTAATTCGATGGCTAAATTTTGTTTTTCTCAGTTTTTGAACCAAGTCAAAACAGAGGCATGCAAAAGGTGCAACAAAATTATGTTACCCTAAATGTAAAAGTCTAAAAAAATCCATGTTTCACATAATGATAAACTACCCCTATATTGATAATCTTTTGTTACATCTTTTTCTATGTGATTCATTCATGCTTCCAAGTATGACAAAATGATAAACTATCCCTAGTGATATTTGAAAAAAAGTTAAACGTCCTTGATATTTTTTTAATAAACCCGTTAATTGGATGGTATTTTTTCAATGGGCAAAACTTCGATGGTATTTTCCCATTGTAGGTCTATTAAAAATTAGGAATTATTATTCTTATTATTATTTATATAGTTTGAACTTTGAACTGGTGTATTCAATTAGATTTCCTCAAGCTTGTATTTGGACAAATAAGTGATCATACAAGAGGTGCTGGAAAAAAGTGAAAAATGTAGCAAGTGTTTGTATCTCAAAAGCCAAATTCCCAAACCATGGCAGTTTTAATGTAAATGAAGAAGCTGAAAGCGGTGACTAGAAAAATATTTATAATGAAATTGATTAACTAATAGATTGATTGTGTTGTATAAAACATTTAAACAGTTTCAAATTATGCTAGTTTGTTTTTGGTAACGATTGTGTAAGATATTTTTAAGCTTTTGATTGTATGATGTTGAAATGTTTTTTAGTTAAATTTACTATTTGTTGGATTTTATGTAACAATCCCGGGAAATTAATTAAATAATAGGGACTGGATGTAAATTGTGTACAAACACTTATGGGGACGATAAGTTGTCTCTTTAGGTGAACCTGTGGGGAAGACAGGTCGTCACTATAGGGTACCTATGGGGACGACATGTTGTCTCTTTAGGCGTACCTATTGCGGCGAAGGCTATGTTGACGACAAAATGAGCTAAAGTGACAGAGGTAAAGCAACGAGGCCTATGGTGATGACATGTCGTCCCTAGCATCTATAGCAACGACTTTGCACCCTAAAGTGACGATCTTTGTTGTTCCTATAGGTCTTTATTCTTGTAGTGTTTATTGATGCTAAAACGGTCCCAAAATAAATCCCTAAATGGTCAAAAATCGAATAACCAATCAGGTAGCATGTGAACATCCGTGACCAACATCAATCCGCGTCACATTTACTCTTACCGGGGGCAGTGTTCCTGCGTTAAGAACCCCTCCACCTAGATCCTTATGTGTGAATCCCCCCCCCCCCCATACCCGATGACCTTAGTTTTTGTAATAAGTGCACAAAGCCACAAATGACACTTCTTTTTTTAGAATCCTATAATAGCATCTATAATAATGTGCAGTGTAATCTTAGAGTTGAATCATGTAAATAATTTATTTGAAATTTAATATGTTAAACTCTATCATAATAGATGTTACATTGAGGCTGGATAAATATTGAGTTTAGAGGTTATTCAACTATCAATAAGTAAAAATAACTTTTTTAAGTTTAAAATAAAATTTTTATTGAACTTTTGTAGAGTCTACTGTATTTTAAGACAAAAATAATTGAATTGTAGAAAATATAAAATTATAATGTGACACTTCATTAATTTTATAGAGTTTAATATATTGTGGATGTCACTGGAAAGTGGATTTTAAGAACACAAGAATAATAATGGATTTTAAAACACATGAATAATAAAACTATTTTGACTATATCTTATCCATTAGTTCTAAACCATTTATCGAAGTGATTATTGAAATTAAACAAAAGAACAAATTTGCTTTTCACACAGATGATATTTCTTGTTTATAGACATTGGAAACCCAAAATGGCTATTTACCTCTCTAGACTTAGGTGTTGTTTGTTTTTTGAAAAAAAACCTCTTTACGCCTCTTATTGATGCGCGACGGAGCACATGCGCATCACTTTTCATGTCATAAAATTCAACGCAATTTTTTCGATTTAAAACATTAAGTATTTATCTAAATCACAACTATAAGCTCTTAAAACATTTATCAAAGTATCATTAAAATTTATCAAGTACAAAAGTCCCCCATTGATGTGATTCAATCGAGTCGTGCCCCTCCTTTAATATAAGAAAACCCGAAACACGCAAACTACAATCATAAGCAAAAATCTTAGTGAGTTCCCCAAAGTACCGCATACATCACATCATAGAATAAACATATATGTATTATCAGCAACCCTGGGGACTACCAATAGTCCCAGTGGGCTAACAACATGCCTTATGGGTTATCAGCAACCCTGAAGACTATCAATAGTTTCAATGGGCTAACATAACGTCTTGTGGGTTATCAGCAAATCCAGAGACTATCAACAGTCTTAGTAGGCTAACAGCATGCCCGTTGGGTTATCAGTAACCCTAGAGACTATATGCAGTCTCGGACACATATAAACAACATCACACAACAATAACAACTAGACCCGACATGTCATCACAACTATAAATATCCTACCACACAGGCTCATATAAAATTCAAAAGTCACAAAAACAGCTAGTTCCCTACATATATAATTTAATGAGTCGACGTTGATGCCTTCGACTCACGAGCAGTAGGAGAAGATTCACCTGGAATTGCTGAAACAATCAGATAAATGCTTAAACTGCTGATCCGGGAAACCTCCGCACTAAATATTGTCAGGCAATATCCTTATTAGTAATCAGGCAATAAACCAAAACCGGGCCCTACCTAAAGACACCCAAAATCCTACAATAGACAAAAATCCTAAACTAGAGACCCAATAACACCAAAAACCAAAATAGTCTGAATATGGACCAAACCAAAAAGTCAACCAAAGTCAACGACTATCAACAATCTGAGTACCCCCCCCCCCTTCATACTCGATCAATGCCCAACGTATGCCACCTTTGGGATATACGCGCTACATACGACATGGGTATGCCGAACGTACTCCACAACAACCGAAACTCATCATTAAGGACTTAAATGGTTAATCCACTAAGTCCACTTCTCAGATCTGATCCCCAATAACTTCTTAACCCATAAACTCAAATACTTTAAGCCTTTCATGGATGGAAAGAGATTAAACCTTGATACTCTAACTTCATCCACACCCAACACTACCAAAATCTACCAGTGCTAGAAAGGGACCACCAATTAACCGTTTTTATGAATCCACAAGACCTAAAAGGCTTGAAATGACAGCTAATAAGCTCTAGAGTACTCCATACTCACAAAGCTCCAAGCTTTAGGACAATAGTTCATGAAAAACCCATCTATGGAGATCTAAAAGGAAACTCATCAAGGTATGAACTTTATACCTTTAGAAGGTGCACCAAATGGAGTAGTTTATGGACGCAAAAGCTTGCAAACAACCTCTCCTTATTCATTAGTCTACTTCTTCGACAAAAGGCCACCAAAATCACCACCAGGCTTTGATATCTTCACTCACAAAGGATACACTCGATATTAGGGTTTGGAAAGAGTGGCGACTTATTATGGGAGGCTCAATAGAGAGTTAGTCCCTTTAAATAGGGATGATACCTTAAAAATTAGTGTTTCACATTAGCCTACGTACGCCCCGCGTACTCCTAGTACGCCCAACATATTAGGTTCCACTCCACAATCATCTTTGGCCTAGTACGCCCAACGTTGAGACTTCGGTCGGATCGGAGAACTGCACGCATCAGATCTGTTTGAGGTGGGTACTGTTCATGCGAGGGGTGTCAGCTAGCTACTGGACCGCGACTTCGTTCCAATCAGAAGGTGCCACGAGGCGGACACGGGGAGGCTGCTTATGCGAGATGACATGGCCAGGTACTGTTCATGCGAAATTATCCGGATTTTTGCTATTTTTCTTTATTTTTGTGCCAAAAACTTGTAAAATTCATAACGTTTGCATACGAACTCCGTTTTTGACGTTCTTTATATGCACGCGTAAGTAAAGTTATACTCTACGACTTTCGTTTAAACTTCGTCGGCTAATTTTGATTTATTTTTAATATTACTATTTTTAACAGACCGGGACAAGAAAATCCGTTAAAATTTCATAACTTGTTTATCCGACGTCCGTTTTCGTCAGACTTTTTACCGTTGTACTAGTATTAACGAGACCTTCGATTCTCGTTTAAGTTGTTTCGGTTAAATCTCGCTCGATCTTTATTTCGAGTTTTTAGCTGTCTACCGCTAATTCGAACATTAGAAAAATCATAACTTCTTCGTACGAAGTCAGATTCAAATGTTCAATATATGAAAGTTCATTATTTTTACGAGTTCTACAACTTTCATTAAGGTCACTAAGGCTAAAAAGTAGTTTATCAAAAACTCACTTTTTACGCGAAATAGCGTTTGCCGGATTTGTCGCGGATCTTCGATTGGTCATAATTTCTTTGTTATAACTCGGTTTTGATAGTTCTTTATATTTTTGGAATCCTTGTTAAAATCTCTATGACTTGGTTCATCCTAATTGAGATTATTTAACACTTTAGTTTTGAGGGTCAATTATGTAAATATACACA